GAAATAAATCAGTAATGCGTTAACCAGCATAGAATCAACTGTGAGTCATTACTAGACCTCTGTATAGTAAAAATTTAAACAATAATGTTCGGTAGAACAGTTCCGAAAGTTCAACTTTGCTTAATACTCATCCAGTTTTATTAGAGTAACAACATGAGCTTTAAATCATTTGGATTGTATCTAGCAGTGAAATCTGGCACTCACGTTGCGTCTTACTTGGCATTCGTCAGTTCAGTTCATAATTTAATTCTTTCAAATAGTGAATGAAGATTCACTCCAGAAAGTGATATAAATCTATGATCCTATAGGTAAACAATACAATGTAAGGTCAGCTGGCCACACAAATGATCTTGACAATATAACTAGGTTTTTAAGAATATTTCCTCAACTGTCATTTGGATTACTACATCATTTCATTGGTTAGTATTTGTTATGTTCTTATGCCCTATAAACTATCACGTGACCAAATCGACAATTAGAACACCGACTTATATGACCTTAACGCTGTGCCAGGTCAATGGAGCGTTAACCAGTACGAACAGCCAACTCTGAATCCATATTGGTTCTTCTCGCCTAGCCCTGTCCGTTTGAGTCCAGAACAAAGTCTCAGTTTCCACTGTATGAATCATATATTTCAGACATACGCAGTTTATACACGGTCAAATCAGACCACATCATTCCATAAAATAGAAAATAACAATTATACAAGATCAAGCCAAAAGTGGCTGTAAGTGTGAGAGACTGTAACTAATAGATTGAAAATAACTTAAGAATGGTAAATCATATAATAGTAGTCAACAAGTCAAATGGAAGCTTATAACAAAAAAAATATGAATATACATATGATATAGTTACTTAATAGTTGTATGATGAGAATACATATAATAACAGTCTGTAAATAATTCCTGGCAGTTACCGTTCGCTAATTCTTCGTTCGGATGTAACAGTTACAATTAAAGGTTTAGAGTTAAGGATTTAGGACTATGATATCCGAGTTACAATTCGGATAAGGACTAAGAGTTTCAAGTCAGAATTTCGGGATAGGATTGATTTATGCGCAATAAACAATCCACGTAGAAAGAATTGAGCATTTAAATCATTTAACAATATCATTTTCGTTATGTGATAAAAACTAACATAGAGCTATTATTTTAAACATCCGGAAAATTAAACAAACATAATTCTACTCCTCGTTTTATATGATATAAAATAAAGGTTATGCATATTTGAAATTAGCTCAAAAAACCCAAAAGTTGTTTCCTCGGTTTTGATTAGCTCACTTTTATATCAGAATTTAACCGGTTATGGTTTATTATCACGAATTCTTAAAGTAACATGGCTGCGATCCCACTAAATCAATTCCTTTAAGGTAGTGAAAAATCCTTTTGTAGCGTCTGCTGTTCCGATCACATTTACATTATTGTCATAGCACCACTTATCAACTTCAGAATTTTTAATGCTATGATTTGAGATTTGATCATTCTCATATCCCTGTTCTCTTCAATTCTCATAAATTGAGTAGCCAGAATCTTCAACTCTTTCAGTTTATTATTGACAACTATATCACTCTCAACTTTAATGAATCTGATAAGCCAGATTGAGAAGTCTAAATGTAGACCGAAACGTCCATCCTAGGTTTTCTGGTTTTCAAAATTGCTCAGCTGAAATCACTTTGTGGCAATAAAAACTGTAATTCAACCAAATTTAGCTTTATAAACAAAAGTTCATTTGTCCGTGAAATACACTTTGTACAAAACCTAATATAATTCTTGAAAACCATTAAACTATTCAGCTACAACGTAGGACCAGGGACATATATGCATCAGTTCAAGTTGACACACCTCATTAGCAAAAGATGAACACCAAATTTTTGAAAGCAGTTACTTCAATAGTAGTAAAAAAACATTTCATATCAGGATACAGAGAGAAAGAATTAGTTCGTAAGAAGAAAGGTATTAAGTAATTTTAATCCCACAGTTTAAGGGGAGACAAAGAGTGTATACACCCACGATCGATTGTGAGTCATGTCACCCAGTCTCCAACTATTATTTACGATAGTCGCACGAACCCCAACCAGTGGGACTATATGTTAATGGAAATTTTGACTTATAAGAGTTAAATACAATAGTGTTGTAAGTCTTGGCTCTATAACGAAAAGAACTTAAACTCACTTCCTAAAACTTCATCTTTTTATGGTGTGATCCGTTCGAAATGTAGCAAAAAGATAACATAATAGATTCAGACACACATGTGAAGATATTACATCAAAATATCAAGTAAGAATTTCACATTAAAAATAAAACGCATATACAAATTATTTTTTTCAAAATAAATTGAAAACACTCATCTATAAAAGAAATAATTACTAGTAAAGGAGGCTTGTAAAGGCTGTTGAATTAAATTGAATTGAAAATTCAGCATTTTCCACAAATCCCTTACACAAATAATGATTATATGACCTGGTTAGAGAGGCGATCCCCGGAGTTCTAATGAGAAGCAATAGTCAATGGAGCTCAATCATGTCGTACATGAGAGTCACCCACTAATCGCATTAAAAGATGGTTACACAATATCATTAGTTGATGTTAATTGTTAATTCAAGAGTAAGTCTGCTTTAGTTTAGGTCATAGATGCATATATTACGTCTTTACAAAGAACACCTGCAAAACCATTGTAGACCAACATTCCGTGTTTCAATTCACTTGGTATTGTTTACTTGAATCTCCCCACTGATGTTTCGGACTGCAATCGACCAGTCTCTTATTGGCATATGTGCATACTGTGCGTATTGCCTCGATATTTGCCTTAATTCACAAGAATTATAAGCAAGGATGGATAGTGGGTAGCAGTGAGATCCAGGACGCGCGTTTCATCCTATTTGAAACTCGTCAGTTGGATGTACCTGCATTTCAGAGTTGATGTTGCTATCATGACTCAGTAGCTAAGCGAGTAACGCGATGGCGTTTGGAGTGAACGATACTGAGTTCGAACTCTAGAGTGAACACCAACTCCGAGATGCAAGCACATCCAGCTGATGAGTCCCAAATAGGACGAAACGCGTGTCCTGGATTCCACCGCTAGCCAATATCCTTCTTTGCTTATATTCCGTGTTTTTTTATCCTAGGACAGTCTTCAGTTTGGGAGACATGATTTCGACAGAGAAAAAGGACGGGGATAAGAAACATATTAACAGCTTGAGGGCTTTAGAAAAATGGACTCTAAAAAGGATTTCTTAAAATACAACCCATTGTTGAAGTATTATAACTGCCTTGGTGAGACAAACTAGATCAACTAATCTATTGACTTGGGATATTATTCAACAAGCACAAATGTTCTCTTTCGTACATTCCAAATAATCATATTTATTTGACTTTCCTTACTTTACATATAAAGTCTTAAGTAAATATATAATATTTTTAGAAACAGTCGTTCTAGATGTAATGAACATATGCATCACATTTTTAGACCAGCCCCATCGACAGATTATGCTATCAAAACTCATAAAACTCAGTCATTTATAATCAACGTAGACATTCGCACATACCTGAATCGGTTTAAGTTACCATGTTGCATTAGCACAGTAAGATAAAATTATCAAGAGAAATGTCAAAATATTGGAGGTAGTCACAGTACCAGTAGTAGTAGAAAAAAAAAGACACAGATAAGCTCCCCCCCCAAGGTTTCCAATGGTAGCCTAACATTGATCGATTCATGACATCAACGAAACTCAACAATCACCACAAGTCTATACTCACAATAGATAATACGACCCGAGAATGAATTTACGGACTGAGAAAGACAGTCTTTTAAAGCTTAAGATCTAATGAAAAATAATGAGTGAATGCATATGGGCCATTGTGAATGATTAAGTGGTCAACCAACGGTAACCATAGTTGTGAGAACTACAACAAAGTAGCCTGAAACTAACAAAACGACTGTGCAACTGTCAATTGCTTCATAGATTGATGCCACGTGCCGGTTGGGCCACTCCTAGTATGAAAAATGAGAACACCGATGGGGACAATCAGATGTATTCAAACTCAAAAATACAGAATCTCTTGGCAAAATTTGAGAACCATACATCAAATTCTTCATTTGCAAAATGTCAATTGTCTCAGACTTGGCTGTTCATTCGTTTCCATACCAATCACTCTCTGTTCTCGTTGTCTTCCCATATATCTTCTTAACCTTCTGCCGTCAGGCATTTCACTTTCGATTGATGATACATACTACTTATATATGTCGACGCCAGTAGCACACACCACATTAGCTTTCTTCCAATCAACTCTCATAGCAGCAGACATTAAATAGTGGACGCAGTGATTGAATATACGTAATACATATCCCCACCAACTCAATCGATGAGAACTTATTAACTCATCATCTGATTTGGTGTTTTTACCTATAGCCACGTATCTAACTTCAGAAATGTTCAATTGGTAGTCATAACATACACAAGCACCGTTCACAAAGGATATATAGATAAATACTAATAATCAACCGATATATTCTATTTTCATAGTTTAAGTGTAGATCTAGACCAGTCCAGAAGCAAAATTATCTTAAGAATCATGAAATCACTGTGAATTTTGAAACTCCAATTATCCATTAGAATATTAATTTGCTAATCATAAACACAGCCAAGTTATCCTCCTTTACAAAAACGTGATTTATCCCTGTGTGATCCAAGTTGTGTAATTATTAGGCAATTTCTACAGCATATAACGAGTATAAGTGACAAAAACATAGAGGATCTTTAAACTCTGAACGAGTGAGTAGAAGAAACCCTTTTTTTAGAAAAACCTAATCACCTAACTTTATCAAGAAATTATGATGTTTTTCCATTGTATCCTATTTAATGAGTTTAAACATAAATCAGTAATATTTCTATGTTACTTTAAATAAAAAAAGTAGTTCAATCTAAATGTATAAAATAATTAATTCAAAATATCAATATTCCTTTTATAAACGTTTGTTTTTGTTCAAAACTGAGAAAAATAACTGCTTTCATTAAGCTCCATGATTCAGCAAAAAAGACTTCACTTTTTCTAACGCTTTAGATCGATGTGATATGGAATTTTTTATAGATTTATCCATTTCAGCATAAGTTTGTTCAAAGTTATCCGGTTGAAATATGCAATCCCATCCAAAATCACGTGGTCCACGAGGTGAAACAATACAACCTGATGTGATACCAGTGAATAATTGTACTGGTTTTTCGAGGCTATCACAATAAGCAAAAGTGCATACAGCCTCTGCACGATAATCATTGAAGTCAATCAACATACGAGGTAGTCCTAAACAAGATATTTAAAATAAATGAACATAAAATTAGTGGAAATGGCAAGGTGAATTGAGTACATATTTATAATAAGTTAGAAATTAAATTCATGATATTTCTGTGGAAAGAAGTAATCCTATCTACTATAAGCAATGGTAAATAATGAACGAACAGGTAGGGGTGAATGTTAGCGGTCCCTGACTTAAGAGGCGGCCATCAATCTATAGAGTGATTGAGTGTTGGTCTGAACTATTTAGTAAAATCTAGACTTTCTGACTATGGTACACACGATAATCGTAATTTATTACTAGTGACTTAAGGTGACATATAGCTTACAATGGGCTGCAGTGCAACAGATTCATTCATTTTCTTAACCTCTTCCAAATGTTGAGTTTTACTATGAGAAGTGCCTTAGACAATTAAACGACCAACCCTCTAGCCATTTGATTAAAAATTTGAAAATGAGTCCACCAAGTACGGATTCAGTCACTTGATTTTGAGGGCTAGTGATATTGCTCGGCTGTTCAAGCCGAAGTGAAGGAAGTGATTGTTGGGGATGTTAGATTCCCAGAACTCACTTGGTAAATGCCTTAATTTTGTAATTTTATTTTGGAAAATCAAATTTCCTTGCTTTTGCGCCAAAAGCGCACTTTTCACCTTCATGTCGTATTTCCTACTTGGGAGAATCTTTAACGCTATTGGTCCGTTGTGTATTTTTAGTATGCAATTTTGCAACGATTCCCAAGGACATTCTTATGCTGTATATATACGTTTGATTTGTGTCTGTTATTATTCACTCGTGCTTCCGGTTTACGGAATATACTATTCCCGTTCCAAGCTTGGACTTCTTCCTCTAGTTAACGGGGCTGGGACGCATCAAATAGCTAGCTTATCGGTCTACGGTCACAAGTCTTTGTTCCGTTCGCATACTAAGTGAACTCGTAATAGCTTCAAACCTAGCGAAATTTGGCGACAGGGATGAGACTCGAACCCGCGCGGGGAAACCCCAGTGGATCAGCAGTTATAACAGTGATGTTCCGACATTTGACTTAGAGGTCGAAGCTTCTTAACTATAATTGCATACACACATAAAAGATTTTCCGTGTTAGCTTGTTTGAATATACGAATTAATAGTAAACACTATGTGCGTAATATTACATGAACAAACACGCAGCCATATTAAATATCACAAATATCCTTAATACTCTTTATGAAATACTTTGACCAGTACCGACGATATAAATGATCTGTATGGAGACGAATAATATGGTGACTCTATTATTATTATCACTGTTATTATTATTGTTATTATTATTATTAACGGCTTTATTTAATATTATATTTGTACCATGGATAACTTATCTGTGGTTTAGAAGTTAACCAGTCAAACTCAAACCATTGAGTCTTAAGTTTGAAGCCAACTTTACCTACTTCGATATGAACAACTGGATAGTAGCATTAGCCCACAAAGACAGAGTAAAACTCGATGGTTAATATATAAACCTGTGATTGACAAATGAGTTGCACTAATTTAAATTGACATTATTGGATAGTTTGTCTAACAATGTAGGTTTAAATATCGTAGAAAGGATGAACTGTTTAGAAGTTGTATACACACATTATCCGATGTGTAATTGTAATCAAGTATCAACAAACTTAAGGACTTCTTAGCGATTTACCATTAAATCCCAACACTATTAATGCAGACGGTAAACAACTGTAAAATAACTCATGAATTAAAAATAATACTTTGAGAAGACAAAACGACGATGGGACGCAATGTTAACATACTACTTAACAGATGATTATTTCCAAATCTGTACTCAAAGCCTACAGAATAGTGACTTACTGTCTGAATCAGTTGGCTTTCACTAGTAGGTCTTACATGGTATGAAAAATAGCTACATAAGACTGGCATCTGTTGGTCCATCACGACTCCCTATCTGAGGACCTAAAAGTGACGGCCAATGACTCAGAACAAAAGCCAAAGACCATCCTAATATGGTTTTCTATTACAGTGTTAATAAAGATAAACTGGACCCTAAAAGATGAGAAAAAATCCGTTCTGGCTGTATCTCTAATTGTACGACCCTTTACTCTTTTATTTCCTCACAACACAACGATCTCATATTTTGATGTTCTATTGTACCGAAATTCATAAATCCTATTAACGAAAATAAGCAGTAGATAGCATGTTTGGACTTCGTTCCATATATTTCAATTAGCGTATATAGTGTGGCTCAGAGATGAGTACATAAATATGTACTTGGTAAATCAGTCAAATATTTGATCAGTTTCCTTGGTCTAATAACCAGAGTATCTTAGCACCCATGAAAATCAACAACAAAGTACCACCATAAAAATGCAGTATATACAGTTTGCAACCAATCACAAAAAAAAAATTAGGTTTATTAACGAAAATGAAACAAAACAATTACCATCAGGACCAACCGCTTTTAAAAACCATTTAATGAAAGGCCCAGGCATTCCATTCAGTGCTTTAAAACAAAGTGCTGTATCTTCGATTAATACAGGTCCATTGATTATTTTAAAAGCAGATAAACATTTTTGTATACTCACTTCTTCGATACTACCTTGAACTTCAGGTAAATCTAGATCAACTGTTTTTACCTATTAAAAAAATAATGATATTATCGTACTATGAAAAAACCCAAAGTACTTTTCCAGTAAATTCCTCACCAATAATTTTAAGGAATTCAGTCAATTTGTTTGGATTACCAGTTACAAAATTTAACTGACACGACATAAGTCTAAAAAACAAAAATGAAATGCATAAACTAGTGTTTAATGGGTGGGATAATGAATTACTAAAAATATAAAGAGAATATAATTTTATAACTATCAAAAGTTATTTGACTGAATTAGATCATACCATAGTTCTCATTCTTGACAATCCCATCATCCGATGAGGTCAAATATCTGATCGTAAGAGACTAAACTCCAAGTCAGTTGGAAAATCAAACTAAGTGCTTCACTTTAGCACAAATTAAAAGGTGACTTGTGATATAACAGTTACGATTTTATCAAGTTAATGAGCACCAGAATATCAAGTAATAGGACTTTGAAGAAGAATCATTTGTAAACACTATGAGTGTAACAAGAAACTAGCTAACTAAAGTTTCAATCTAATACATTTGTATTTAAAGTTGGCCGGAAAAATTACTAGAGTTTAGTATTTTTCGAGATTAGACACATTTTCTGGTGGCAATAAACGAGTAAACTAAAGCACTTTATGACAATTCGGATGTATTATATGAATGATTCTACATTTGTCGAATACTATTATCAAGTAGATCATTATGTACACTGATCATCACGGCGAGGATATATTTACTGTATCCCGTTGAATAAAACTAAACAATAAATTGACTCATTCATTAGGTTCTTTGGTATGAGCCACACTCTAAGTTTGAAGGTTAATGATGCTACTCAGTTACAGAAACATTAGGCTGCAGCTCATATTTCATAGAGACAGTTAAATGTTTTAAGATACATAGGACAATCAGCTAAATGGGTACATAGATACTTATGTTATACATGATTCTCGATCGTTTAAAACCATAATATTACATGTAAACGATCAGCCCCAGATCAGTGGTCAAAAGTCAAATGGTTTGAGTACTTTGAATGCCATTGTTTCATAAATAAAGAATGGAATTAACATAAAAACAAATGAGCAGAGGTAAGGTAACCTGTAGGGGTTAAAAGTAACAGCATTTCATAAAGTAGGTGTCATTACCAAGGTTTGATTTGATAATTTCGAATAAATTGAGCATTGGGTTGATTGTTATAAATAAAAATAATATATTTGTAATATCCCAATGAGTAGAAAATTGGATTTTCTGACGTTTCGTGGCTTAGTGTCAGTCACTTCTTCAGAGAATAAATAACCAAAATTAAATTAATCCAAGTTTAAATAGTACAACGGAACAATCCAATTTTCTACTCATTGGGATATTACAAATATATTATTTTTATTTATAGCATTTCATAAAGATAACTTTTCTTTATTGATAACGAGAAACGCTTTCTCATAGGTTGAAAACCATAATTTTTGGTAAATAAAGATAATTCCAGTAATCAGTACCTTGACGAAGAGCTAGTAAAAGACAAAATTTTTTTACCCTCATTTCAGTACGGATTGACATGATATATATAACCATTAGGTTGTTATAGTCCGAGTAAAACCAAGCGAGCCGATGAGACTTAGTGTCTTAGGCAGAAAACAACCAGAGCCAACAGATGCTATTTCATCAATTTTATTCAGCTGATTGGATGTGATCACGAATTAGCAAAATAAAATGAAACGTGGAGCTTTCTTTTTCAATAAGAAGTACTTACTGAATCGCATACCACTCATTACAACGGAAAGTATACCTGGACGCTGATTCTCATTAAGATCAACTCAGCCTGAATTTATTCAGGATAAGCATACAGCGAGCTCCACCTTTAGCCCTTCTAGGGTTACTGAAGGTCCAAAACCAGGACATAAAATGAATGTTGGGCATGGGGTCAGAAACCACATCCTGTAAAAAAACGTTGCTAAAAAAGCACTAACCGGAAAAAAACAATTTAGACCATTCAAACTCTGCCCTCGAGAGTTGAAGGATCCTCATTTATAAGAATTATAACGCCTCATGATCAAAGCTAAGATTCTTCAGAAATCACCTGACCAATGCCTCATCTAACAACTCGAGCAACAATTATTATAGGTACATGTTATGTCCGGACAATGTACGAGACTGAAAAGACCAGTCAAATAGCTGAGGAAATAAGGAGATACAACTTGGCGGTTCTCGTTATAAGAAAAACCAATTGGAACCAAGTTGGAGGTGTTGTTGTACTCTAGTCATTAAGAAGTGCTTCGAACGCACAACGACTTTCACTGATGCTGTCCAAAGAAGCACGAAAAGCACTTATAGAATGGGAATCTCATGGATCCATAATCATCAATGCATCCTTCAAAACAAAGGAAGGGATCACAACGAATGTTATTCAGTGCTAACCACCCACCAATTATAGCAACAATGACGATAAAGATTAGTTTTGTGGGAGGCTACAATCGATCGTAGAGAAGTGCCCAAGAGAGGACCTGACCATCCTGATGGGAGACCTAAACACTAAGTAATATTTATTTTATTTAAACCCATAAACATTGGTACAAGGAGGCACCAAATACATATATGCCCCACAAATTCGATTTGCGTGAGGGCTGGAATATTGCCTGGTCGCCCAAACTGAAGCAAAAAGGAACGAGAATAATGAGAGATTTGCAAATTTATATACCTTAAACGAAATGGTTATAAATGGCACTATATTCCCCCACAAACGCACGCACAAAGCAACATTGGTCTCGCCGGATCATACTACAGAAAACCAAATAGGTCATATTTGCATCACTAAAAATTCAGGTCAGTGAATTCAAGATAGCTCTCAACAACAGGTTCCAAGCCTTACAAGATCTGCTCAAAAAAGAAAATACTATGGGGAACAACTGGAACGGAATCAAAGAACCATTAACTTCAAAGAGCCAGGACGTGTCGGGACACGAGAACCATCATCATAAGAAATGGATTTCTATCGAAACTCTGAACAGGGTTCAAGAAAGGACAGGAAAACAGCAACTACCAACAATCGAACAGCAGAAGAGAAAGCCAATGTGCAGGTTGAATACACAGAAGTAAATTAGCAAGTAAAGAGAAGTAGAGATGACAGGTAGAAATACGTGGAAGAGCTAGCAACGACGGTGGGAAAAGCTACAAGAGAAGGAAATATGAGACAACTATGTGATACGACGAAGAAACTAGCAGAGAGACATAGTAAAACAAAGCCGCCAGTCAAGAACAAAGAAAGAAAGCTGATGACTGAGATTCAAGAGCAGAAAACAGGTGTGTAGAACACTTTGAAGAACTCTTGAATAGACCAGTCCCATTGAACCCACCAGACAAATAAGCGCCTACAGACCTTCACACAGCTTTACTCCATCAACAATAGAAAAAATCAGCATGGCCATTAGACAAATCAAAAGTGAGAAAGCAGATGCAGGACCAGACAACGTACCAGATGAAGCACTGAAGTCAGACAGAAATGTAACTGCGAAGATGCTCCATGCACTATTCAGAGGGGTTTGAAGGGAAGAACAAGTTCCGACAGGCTGGAAAGGATACCTCATCAAGATATCACGGAAAGGATATCTCAGCGAGCGTGAGAACTACAGAGACGTTACGCTACTATCAGTACCAAAACATGTTTTCAACAGTATCGTTGAACCAAATGGAAGATTTATTAGACGCCCAGCTTCGAGATGAACAGGCTGGATTCCGTAAGAATCAATCATGAACCGACCAAATTGCGTCTGAAAGTGTGAATAGGAGAACCTTATGGAGCATTCCTACCTGAGATCATCAACATTATACGAAATTCTTATGAGAAACTACAATGCACAGTCATGTATGGAGGCCAGATGAAATATCAATTCCAGGTGAAGACCCATGTCAGACAAGGCTAATCACTCTCGCTCTTTCTCTTTCTTCTGGTGGTCAACTAGATGAAGTTCTCCGCACTTCAGAGGAAGCACGGAATACAATGAACAGCGTGAATGCAACTAGACGATTTGGACTTCTCAGATGACCTATCTCTTTCATCCCATACACCAACATATACAGATAAATGTAGTCAGCGCAACAGCAGACTCTGAAGCAGTAGGTGTCAACATACATCGAAAGAGGAGCAAGATCCTCAAGTACAACACGGAGAACACCAATCAGACCAGACTTTATGAAGCTCTGGAAGACGTGGAGACTTCCACGTACCTGGGCAGCATCATCGATAAACAAGGAGGCTCTGATGAAAATATAAAGGCACAAATTGGCAAACAAAAACCCAAGGATTCCCACAATTGAAGAATATATGGAACGCACAACAACTGTCAACCAATATGAAAGTCAGAATCTTCAATACGAACGTCAAGTCAGTTTATTGTACAGAGAGAAAACTTTAAGAACGAATACAACCATTATCAAAAATGTACAGGTATTGATAAACAATATTGCGTAGACAATATTGTCTACGCAAGATACTCAATGTCCGTTGACCGGATGCCATCAGCAACAGCCTACTGTGGGAGAGAACAAACCAACTTCAGACTGAGGAGGGGATTAGGGAAAGATGTTGAAAGTGGATAGGATACACATTGAAGAAATCACTGAACTACATGGTGAGGTGAGCACTAAATTGAACTCCTGAAGGGAGAAGGAAAAGTGGAAAAACAAGGGACACATTGCGTCGCGAATTGGAGGCAAACATCAAAGGAATAAATAGCAACTGGAAACAACTAGGAAGGGTTGCCCAAGACAGAGCTATCACTATTATTATTTTAACACACAGATATTGGTACAAGGAGGCACCAAATACATATGCGCCACACAAATCTCATTCGATATGTGTGAGGGCTGTGATACTGCCCGGGTGCCCAAACCGAAGCAGGTGCTTTTCTTAGGTGGCCACACCCAGAGCATTTGACCTAAAGTTCTGGGGGGGGGGACAGACTACTTGGTTGGGCTCCGTGCGACTATCGTAACCAACGGTTGGAAACTCTAGGTGACATGGCTCAGGATCGATCACAATGGTGTGGATGTATACACCTGATGTCATGTGTTGGCTGGGCCGCCTCCCTTCATTTTCGACTAGGACCTCTACGTTATTACCTCTTTCGGGGATGTCTTTTAACGTCTTTCGGTTACAAATCCATTGAAAATAAGTAACGTATCCACCGTAAGAATCTGGAATATTTTAAACGAGACGTAGAAAAAATTACGACAACCCAAGCCCCCGACGTTGTGACAAGACTGATAAATGTTGGAAGTTTCATTTAAGCGCTGGAGATAATTTCGAGAAATCACAACGGAAAACCCAGAATAGGCCTAGGTTTGAATTTTTTCGAAGTTCACCCAGAGTTTCCCAGAAATGGTAGTGTGAGATATCGCACACTTGACACGTGACATTGTCACGCAAAACTACTTAATTTATGGAAAAATGACAGCCTTTCACTTGTCTTCCACAATATTTTATGCGAGACATAATCCCTAAAGAATTCAGCACTAGATTAACCTTGGAACTATACTGGAATGATAAACACAAAGAACCAGAAGAATTCGAGTAAAGAAGGATGACTACTATGGTAGTAACGCCAAGATAGAGCTGGTCGGAGAATGCAGGTGAGCGCCCTATGGTCCTCCACGAAGGGTAATAGGCTTAATTAATACAGTGCCTTTAGAATTTGATTCTTCAACAGAATCCAGAGTTTTGGATTTAAATCCAAAACTCTGGATTCTGCTGAATTTACTCTCCCAGTGACCGATAATGTGGAGAAACTCAATATACACTCATAAGTCGATCAGTGTGTAGCCTGCAAATACCTTACCGAAAACGGAGTGGAAAAGGTTGTACATTCATTTAGTTGTGGGACACCACTGAGGCAGCACGAGAATCTTAAACGAAGACTATAGTCTTATAAGTATGTAGACACGTAGAGTGAACCTATGTGTGACGATAAAAAGCAATTTAGAAGCGTCAATTAATGGGCGACTAACAAGTTTTCTGCATACATAAAAAAGCCAATCCAATAGTTATACAGATGACCTAGTCAGACCAGCTGGATACAAAAAGGCGACTATATATAGTCACAACTATAGTAACATTGCTTGATTATAATCAAGCATAAGTTGACTTAAATTCATTGCTTGCCTGTACAATGACAGCTGATGTAAATCACCAATGAGCTTAATATTATGTCCCAACTAACACCTACTTTCGGTCCCCTTGAAATAACTTCACATTAGATGTTAAGACAGTTTTCTTGGACAGTCTTGAGGCTTTCTCATATATTTCCGAGGACTCCTAAATCTTCACATGCTTACAGCTATTTCTATCATGAAAAAAGGCACACTTCCACGTACATGTGAGAAATCTTTCACCGAGAGTTTTACGTGTATTTATATATAGAATAAAGTTTACGGTTGACATGACCACAATATATAGACGAACCAATCAGATTCAAGACATCGAGTCTTGGTATTTAGCGCGAGATCCAAATGGTTCAAATGTAGCACGTACTATTAGCGTTTACTTGCAAGCAGGAGCGATCTGAAACAAAACACAACAGTCAGGACCGGTAAATGCCACTGAAGTAAGAACACGGCGTACTGGCACAACAGAGATATATTTAAAAATTGAAAGACGCGGTCCGAGTACAAAAGGGAAGCTCATTACAAAGTGGGTTTATTCATTGTTCTGCAGGTTCGGCTTGCTTAAGGCTTATTCCTCTTCTTGTAGTACGTTCACTTTTTGTTGCCCTGCAATAAGGAAAACAAACTCAGATTATTAACGTCATCTGTAATGATTTTTAATACCGTTGTGGACGGAATAGAAGAAGCTTTCGCTTAAAAGGCTTCCGTGTCTAGTAGCAGGGGATCACGAATACCTCCAGGCAGGAACCTATGTATGTTAACGATAAAAGAGGAAAAAGAAATTGGTAAATCATAGTATGATGCTATCCTTAGACCTTATTAAGAGATCAATTTGCCTCTTAAAGGACTCCTGGGTAGTTGCTTGGACTAGTTCGACAGACAGCGAATTCCAGCAGTTGACAACTCTTAAGGAGTAGAAGTTGTGTCTACAATCCGTTCTTCTATATTGTGTCTCCAATTTCTGGGTGTTACCCCTTAGGTTGGTATTGGGACTAAGCTTAAATAGGTGTTTAAGAGGATGTCCAGAAGTGTTAAGGATACTGTAAGCCATCAGAAGGTCACCTCTACGAAGCATAAACTTCAATGGGTAAAGGTTAAGTGATTGGAGGCGCTCTTCGTTAGGTTTATATTTGAGTCCTCGAACTGATTTCGTGGCTCGCCTTTGGATACGCTCCAGAGTGTCCTTATCCTTTGGGAGTGAGGAAGTACTATGCTTCCGTACTCTAAATGGGGACGGATAAAACTGTCGAAGACTTTATGGAAAGTTCTACCTTCAAACTGGCCAAAAGTGCGCTTCAATGTTACCAGTGCAAGGCTTGCTCGAAAGGCATTTTTGTCACAGTTAGCGTAAGACTTTAAATCGTAGGGCACCAGGACGCCTAAATCTTTTTTCAGCTCGGGATACTACTAGAGAGGAGTTTCCTAAGTTGTAACTGTAGTCTGCGACATGTCGTAGATGGACTATTTTGGACTTCGAAGTGTTAAAGGTAAGTCCGTTATCATCTGCCCAACTTTGAAGTCGAGTCAGATCCTCCTTCACTACTGTAGAAGATGGGTGGGATTATACAAAACGTCCTCACCTCAACTTAATGTATTGCAAACAGGAATAATGGTCATGTTGACGCTCATGTAGTCATTTCATCTGTCACAGTATGTTTTTTGGTTGAAAAAGATAGATTATGCTGTGAATTTCGCTCTGGCTGTGACTTATTTTGCCACATCTGACTGTGTTACACCGGACATCCACTGCATTCTGTAATGTTATTCTAAGTCATAGTGAGCCTAGTCAAATGGTTGTTTTTCAAAGTAGACCTTCAATGAATAGTGTTATTGGAGAAAGGTTTATTGTGCTCTAAACTGTTGGCTTCAGGCCCAAAACGAAATCGTTTGTTCTATATTCGGTAAGTTTTATTGGACTATATATCGTGTTTTTGGTTTATATGCCTAATTATCTACATTAATTTAATTTGAGCAACATGTATGTGCAAATGAAAAAAATTATGACACCTGCTTAGATTGATATTCTTGGTTATCGTATAATTCAGCTTAGTGCTTGAAGCCTTTAGTGAAGCAGAGCAGTTTGGTAAATCAATCTGCTCACGCACTTCGGTTAGTATGCCAAAGCGTCACAACTCGAAAAAGTTAAGTGTGTGATACACTGACCTGAGTAGCAACATCATAAGTCGAGGAAGAATAACGAAATTAGCACGAACTCTCTGAGCATTACGTAACTTGCGGAATTTCATTACATCTAAACTTCATATTACGTAGCTACACCAGAAGAACGTTGGAAAAACACAGAAATGAGCAAACCAGCCGCTGTTGTTCACAGAGATGGCGGAAATGATCATTAATGCTCTATTCTGATTGGTCGCTAATTCTACTGACAAAATTTCGAAACGAAATTGCGTTTAATTACAGACATGAACATAAAATCCATATTCTTAATCTTGACTTTGTACTTGACAACCAACCATAAATGAGTCGTGAATAATCGTTTTGCGCTATCGTGGTCCATGATGAAGGGTGTGTCTCGTTCTCTGTCAATTTCACGGACCTACGTGGAAAATACGAAATGTTTTACGACGGAAATGCCACTGGATTATTCTACGGACGCGCCAAGTGCGATGCACACACTCATGATGAGAAAAAAGTTGCAACGTAGCAAAAGTCATACCTTCAATTAACTCTGTGATAGAAACTGTCTCCAAATATCCACAACTGAGTGACTAACTAAAAGAAAACGATCATATTTACTGGCAACGATCTGCTCAGATGACTTGACAACTTGAGTTTATCCCTAGCCGCCAATATATTTTGGCCTTATAGTTGATGTTGGTTTGTGGTAGAGAAGCCATGTTATAATTCCAAACTCTAGCTTCCGACCCTCACTTATTTATAATTCATTATGGAAATTTATAACTATCTTGACACAAGTAAAATTTTATGTTGCCAAGGTCATCATAGCATTTAGTGAAGATCGTTTGAAAATTGTAGATTCACACAAATGACCAAGAGAAGATAGCTTAAGTAGATATTGACGACCGTTTTGTACTATACGAGGACATACTCACGCCCGTTGACCCCAATGAAGGAGCATAGGCCGCTCACCTGCATTCTCCGACCAGCTCTGTCTTGGGCAACCCTTCCTAGTTGTTTCCAGTTGCTATTTATTCCTTTGATGTTTGCCTCCAATTCGCGACGCAATGTGTCCCTTGTTTTTCCACTTTTCCTTCTCCCTTCAGGAGTTCAATTTAGTGCTCACCTCACCATGTAGTTCAGTGATTTCTTCAATGTGTATCCTATCCACTTTCAACATCTTTCCCTAATCCCCTCCTCAGTCTGAAGTTGGTTTGTTCTCTCCCACAGTAGGCTGTTGCTGATGGCATCCGGTCAACGGACATTGAGTATCTTGCGTAGACAATATTGTCTACGCAATATTGTTTATCAATACCTGTACATTTTTGATAATGGTTGTATTCGTTCTTAAAGTTTTCTCTCTGTACAATAAACTGACTTGACGTTCGTATTGAAGATTCTGACTTTCATATTGGTTGACAGTTGTTTTGAGTTCCTTATATTATCGAACTGTAGTAATGCTGTCCTTGCTTTGTCAATCCGCATGTCGCTCTTCCACGGCTACTGCTAGTTTCAATTCCAGTTAAAGGAGTGTTGGGTGCGTGTTTGACAACTCCATTCATTACAAAACAACCTTGTTAAAAAACGCTAATCAGAATATATCCTGACATGAAACATACGAAACGGTGCACTTTCGTTTCGTGTGGTTCGATGCTTTTCTTTTACAAAATGAACCTCATTTCTGAGTGTTCTGGTGATCTTCGGAATCTGTACAACAGACAAAGCTAGTTTGTCTGTGGCATTATTTCAGAGCGATACGAGAATCACCTGCCTTTGTTTTGGGAAGCTTACACAAAAAGATCTGTCCAGAGTTGCACTAGTCAAATGTCTGTTTACCAATGACCTCCCTCATATGTAGCAACAATTCTGTTGCTAAGCTGCGTTGCAATTTGATCTTGTGAAACAGTTGGTCTAACTTTTGTCGATCGGTTAGGTCTAATTGTTTACCGCCGAACCTTTGAATAGTCTATTAAGGTTATGAAACTTCAGTAGGAAACATACTAGGTGTGACGTACTTGTTAAAATCGCGCGCCAGTGCCTTAACTACTCTTAGAAATTGGGCACGTGGGTCTATTTGGCCATGCTCATGGAAGCCAGCCTTTGTGTGGCAGTTATACCTCGATATTATCGAGCCAATATGGTACGAGTAGAAAGGTGGGTGTGTAAGAGTTTTAATCTTCAACAGTTTAGGTATCCGTTTTGTCACAATAAGCATGAAATATGTAAATGTATAAAAACTCGGATAATGCGAAAATAATAAAGCGATATGTAAAAATGAAAATCGAAAAGTGGTACTTTAAGTACCTAGTCACCAGTTGGACGCCAATCGTTGCTGTCCTTTTTAGGGACCATGTGCAACGGAGATGCCCATGGGCTATTTGACGGCCGTATGGTTTCTAAAATGCGGTCGGCAGGTGCAGCCAGTTCGTCTAAGGCGCTGTTTTGAAACGAGACCAGAACCGCTTGCACCTGTTGGGGAAGTTGAGACAAGAAGAGTTGTTTGAATAGACCTTCGTCGAAAGTTCTTGGGCCTATAACCTCTTTCATCCGTTGCAACATGTCCGTCGCAGAACCGTGCTGCAGGTCTATGTTATTAAAGAGTTGATCTAACCTTTGTCGATCGGTTAGGTCTCCTCGTTTAAGAATCGAACGTTTTAAGGTTTCGTAATGTCCAGAAACATCAATAGTAAACATACTAGGTGTTACGTACCTGTTGAATTCCCGCGGTAGTGCCCTGACTACTGCCAGGAACTGGGCACGTGTGTCGTTCACGCCGTGCTCGTGGAAGTTGGCTTGTGCGTAACAGAACCAGTCTTCGATATTGTCGGGCCAGAAAGGCATGAGTTGGAACGAGGGTGGGGACATGGTTTTAATCTTAAATACTTTAGGAGTCTGTTCGGTCATAGGGAAATATTAGGTACGAGAATACGAGGGAATAATATATAGCTATCTTAAAACACGAGGAAAAATATCACAATGTATAAAAAAATAAAAAATAAGGTAATAGTATATAAAAATCCCAAAAAGGAACAAACTCAGTTGCAATTAGGTGTACCAGATCATGTCGGGCTCACCAATGAAAATGGCACAGGTATTCAGTGTTTGACAACGCTTTTACGAACAACACCCAATATAATTTGTACCCACCCAGAGAAATCAAAAGACAGAGTCGAGGATATCGGAAGAGTGTATTTGGCGATTACCAATATATCGGAATTCTCTGATCTAATCTGGCTAGCGATTGCTGTAGATGTTGAGCACGGCGTTACCACACGTGATCTGGTGCGGATGCCTGACAGAGCGCCTTCAGCTAGATGAGTCCACTAAAACATGTGGTCAGCATCCAATATCGAAAACTTACAG